CCCGCAGGAGCGGCTAAAGAAGTTTGTTTATTTTGTCAGGCACATCTTACCTCCGAGTAAAGGTCCCATCAGGGCTGGTTGTGAGCCTTCTAGCATCTAGAGGGGTAAAAAGGGCACTACAGGGGTTCAGCGTGCCGCTGGTATAGAATTCAAGCCATCCTTTTACAGATAAAACTTAAAAATCAAAAAAGGGTGTTTCAAATTGTACAAGTAGTTGCTTTTGTAAAAGACCTGATTTTCAAGTTGCCAAATAACCACCAGGTATCAGTGCCTCTGAAAATCCCACCTCTGTGAATTGCCCAAAGCGCTGAAACGTCTTTAGGTTCCTGTAGGTTTCTAGCACGTGATTGAGACCTGGTCATTATCAATTAATTAGTTTCTCTTTTTAAAACTTTTTTTTTTTTTTTCCCCTTCTATTTCTGCCAACTGCCCCACCAGACCAGCACATTCTTGAAGAGCTTGAAAAGCAATCGATCCTTGTGTACACCCCATCCCGGAAGGTGAAAGGCAAGAGAGTAGTTTGCTACGACGATCGCTATATAGTGAAAGTTGCTTATGAGAAAGACGGAGTCATTGTTTCCAATGACCACTACCGGGATCTCCAGAACGAAAACCCTGAGTGGAAATGGTTTATTGAGCAGCGACTACTCATGTACTCTTTTGTCAGTAACAGGTAAGAGACAGCTGGGGTTAAAGCGTCTGGAACTTAAACGTTATGGGCCAAGTCAGCTCCAGCATCAATGCACCTCCCGCCAGTAGCAGCGTACGTGAGCCTTTGCCCGAAAGGAATTTAGCCCTGCTTTTCCTATCTCATTTCTTTAGTTCCTGCTCCCTCAGCTTTGGTCTTAAGCCCCCCACGTCACTCTTCAGTGAACGTCTCTATTTGAATGGCAGCGTTAGGGACCAGCTTTGCTTCTTTCCAATCCAAACAGGGATGTTAACCAAGGCTTGGTATCTTTTAATTTCTGTTTCCTATAAGAAACAGAATTAAACCCGTGAGAGGAGACTGGCTATCTGGCAGTATTTTCAATCCCCCTACAAGGCAGACCAGCGCTTTTTCCTTTTGTAATCATAACTTCCTAGAAGAAGGGAGAGGAGAAGCTGGTCTCGCTGGCCCTTACCCATCCCCGTTGAGAAGGTTTCCACTCCGGCGCCTGCACCGTGCCGGTGAGGCTGAGCTGTACGCTCCTCCGGCTGTACGTGCTAACCTTCGCTGGGTTTCCTCGTAGCAGAGGTGTTCGTTAGCCGTCAGTTTGGCTGGGGAAATGCCGTCAGAGACATCAGGGTGCAGGGACGAGGGCGAGCGGAGCAGCCGGCTCAGGCAGCGGCGCTTTCCGTGGGTCGGGATGGAGACTTGGCTCTCCCACCACCAAAACTGGATGGGAACGCTCGGCACTGGGTTTCGGTGTCCCTGTGACGTTGTTCGAAGAAATGCAGTTGCTGAACATCAGCATTCTGTGTCTCTCAAAGCGTCAGTCTATTATCTCCAACTGTCACCAGGCTTCTTCTCTAGGTAGTAGTGGGTTACAAATATTGATATGATTTTTTCCTTCCTATTTCGTAGGGATTGTCAGACCTGTTCGGAGCCCTTCCCACAGAAGGTCTAGCTGTTACTGGGAAGCCCATTTGAATAGTTTCAATGTGATGGCACTTTCAAAAAGTTTCAATAGTTTCAAAAGTTTCAGATAGTTTCAAAAAGTGATGGCACTTTTTAGCTCCAAAAGCTCGAGGTATTTTTGTTACCCCTGTGACTTTTTCCTTTTTCAGGTTTATGCCTCCTGATGATCCGTTAGGCCGGCATGGACCCACTCTTAGTAACTTCCTCAGCAAAAAGCCAGTGCTTCCTGAACCGAAATGGCAGCCTTGCCCCTACGGTGGGTTTCTCCCCGTGCTGTGACCCGCCACCCCTCTTCCTCCTGCCCCTTGCTGCCCAGCGGGGCTTTCCTTCGGCTAAGGGCAGTGCTGCTCAAATGTGTGATGCTCTTTTTTTTTTTTTTTTTTTTTTTCCCCCCCCCCCCACTCTTCTCTCTTTTCTTTCTTCGGCCTCAGCAAAGCCAGCCGCTCCTCCTGGCTCCTCCATCCATGCCCGCACCCAGCACCCAAACCAGGCACCGTGGCCACCCCGACCGCCCAGCCTGCCCACACCTGCCGGGCGGACTTGCATTGCAGCACTTGGGAAAGGCCGTCCCAACCCTTCCCCTCTCTCTCCCCTCCCAACAGCTTTCCATAACGTGCAGGTTTCTCTCCCTACACCGTTTTTTTAAAGCACCCCTTTGTAGCAGCAGGTCTGCCAGCCCACTGAGTGCAGCAACCGGAACATAAATGAATTTCAGACACTACCAAAAATAGCAGAAACTTGCTTTCACTGCTGCTTCACCCTACTATTTAGGTCAGCGGTATTTAAAACCGGGGTCAAAAGTACTGAATTGGAAAACAGCACTTCCCCTCTTCGCTGTTTGTGCTCACCCTGCCCCTGCAAAGGCGGGGGGGGGAGATGCGATGGGCGTGTAAACTGATGTGGGGGGTAGAAACAACCTCCCTCCTTTTTTGTTTCTTTTTTTTTTTTTTTTTTTTTGATTCTTCCAGGTAAAAAATGCACCTATGGCAATAAATGCAAATTCTACCACCCAGAGAGACCACATCAAGCTCAGCTCTCGGTTGCTGATGAGCTCAGGGCCAAAATAAATGTCCCGTTAAGCCTGGGGAAAGAGGAGGAGAAGTGTAACTGCTCACCGT